GTGTTGCTTCGGACCCTTTTGTTGCTATCTCAGGTGTACCTCAGGGTAACATATTACGACCTCTATTCTTTAACCTGTTCATTAACGACATCTCTTCGTGTTTTTCATCCTCTAAGTTTCTGCTTTATGCGGATGAATTGAAACTTTACTCTGAGATTTTCTGCACCAATGATGCTACAGCTCTTCAATTGGAGCTTAATAAGCTTAACAATTGGTGCGTTAGGAATCGACTGTATCTAAACATTAATAAATGTCACAAAGCGACGTTCACTAAACTGCACAATCCCTTGCACACGTCGTATAGCATTGCAAACTCTACGCTTGAGTCGGTTAATGCAGTCAAGGATCTGGGGGTGTACTTTGACACTAAGTTTACTTTTGCTATGCATATTAATTATACGATAAAAAACTCGCTTGCCATGCTTGCATTTGTACGAAGGAACTCATCTAATTTCTCAGATCCATACACACTTAAGATGCTGTTTTCTGCTTTTGTGCGGTCTAAATTAGAATACGCGGCATTTATTTGGAGACCATTTCATGCTATTCATATAAACAGGTTGGAGAGAGTTCAAACAATTTTCCTCCGTTTCGTTCTAAATTCGCTAAGTTTCACACTCCCGATTCCGTCATATGAGTCTCGGTGCCGTCTAATCAGCCTACTGTCTTTAAATGATAGAAGAACACAATTGGCGATATCTTTTATTTCTGACATTGCTACAGGCAATTGAGAGGTTGCACTTCAATGTTCCGAGTAGAAACCTCCGTCGCTTTGAGGTATTTCGAGTTGGCCTCAGCAAAACGGCATATAGTGCCAATGCTCCTATTAATAGAACTCTAACTGAGTTTAACGTCTTCGCAAATTCTTTAGACCAAACTTATCAGTTTCTAAATTTGCTCTTAAAGCTCAGTTAAGTGATTATTTTATCAGTCATTAGTATAGTTTATGATCTCAACTTATATGTAAGCGTTTTTTATTTCATTATGAGTGTGGCGAACTGCCAAAATGTCTGTTTCATGTGAATAATTGTCTTGAATAATGTAATTATACTAGTAATACTCTCCAACATGTGTAGTCTGTAAGAATATTTTTGTTCATTGACTTCAGTAAATAAATAAATAAATAAATAAATAAAAGAAACGGGTAGACTTTAAGCCCGGCCGATTAGAAGAGTAGATTTCAACTCATTGAAAAAATGGAGTAATTATAATTCGAAGTCTGTACGCTGGTCTCTTTACAAAGGAAAACGTGTTTGAGTCGTGCGAAATATGGTTGCCAGATGTTGTTGCTAATTTTAAGACTTGGAAATCATCAGATAATTTAAGAGTTATTATAATTTGACTAAATTTTCATGCAATTAAAAGCATTTGATATAAAAAAATATTTTATTTCTTTTTGAGTGTGACTGCGAGTTTATTGTTTAAGTTTTAAAAGTCGTCCAGCATTAAACGAATCTCCTTCTCTTTCTAGTAAAACCTCGCTTAGTTCGCTGATCTTTTAACGAAGATGGGTTTATATAAAAGTGTATCGATTTTATGATTTCAAGCCTTATCGTCTTGAAAGAAATTCTGCAGTAGCATCAAATTAAATCCAATCCATACAAAGTCCACGAAGCATAGAAGAAATTCAAAATGGGGGAGAACGTACAGTGTCCAGTATGCACGCTATTTCTGCATGCTGGCATGAATCTTTCCGATCATTTAGAGACGCATCCTAAGGAACAAGTAATTAAGGCTCTGGTGCAGATGACAATTTCGGGTAGTGGAGGCACTATTGCGGGAACTGCGCTTGCGGCATCCTTAAGTGGGGGTGGTGAATCTAAAGCAGATCCGGACGAAAAACCGAAGACGGAAACCATTGTTGCGGATGCAAATGCAACCAGCAATGCGACACCGAGCAAGCTATCACCCTTTATATCTGCCGGGCCGACTCAGAACAACAGTCTGAACTTCACAGCTGCGTTTAGTGCAATATCAGCAATAACTAAACCATCGACATCATCCGCAGCCGCCTCCACTGCAACAGCGACCGTCGGGCCACCAGTTGATACCGCTGCAATCACAAAGGGCACTGGTGTGAAAGATATTGTGGATGACAAGACCGAATGTGTTAATAATGGCAAAGAGAAAGTTAAGGTTTCACCCACAACTGTGGCGCCACTTAGCGCTGTCGGGCAAATTCTTCCCGGCAATTTTGAGGAATTCTCCGCCAATAGATATGGTAAAACACAGCAAAAACAAATATCACCAAGTCAATTAGAACAACAACAGCAAAAGCGTCAGCAAAATGAAAATCAACATGATATAGATAGCGTGAGTGCAAGTCGCGCAAATGCCCCACAACGCACTGCATTAGCTCCACCTCCTCCAACAGTGGTACCACTGCCCCTAGTGGTTGGCCAAATACCGAACAAACTGCTACATCCATCACATTCAGCCACACTATTTGCAAGTAATGTCACTACTCATCGTCAGGTTCAAATGCATCCGATTCAGCAGTCACATCCACATGTTCAAAATCAGTTTCAACAACAGCAGCAAAGTCATAATCTGCAGCAACAGAATCTTAAATTATATTATTCTACAGCTTTGCCGACTCCACCGCCTACCCTCCAGGTACGTTTGATCCTGACACAAGAAACTTGACTCTATTTTTCCTCAAGACCAAATGTTATATTGACTTGAACCGATGTTTTCTGTAATAACCTTTCATTTAACTTACAGCTTTTCCCCTTCCATGCCACAACGCAAATACAGCACCAAAAACCACCGCCCGCGTATGGCACAGCGATAAGCCAAATTCGATCTCAACATAACCAAAACAAGAATAAGCATCCAACAGGTGATAAGAATCAAGTGCACCATCATCACCAGCAACAGCCACAGCCACAGCAATTGCATCAACAATTGCAGCAGCTTCCACAACAAATTCAACAGCCGACAATGCATCCGGCGCCATTACAAGCAAGAGCTCTAACAACGCTTCAATTACACCACCGTAACCAACAACAGACACTTGCTAATATACCAACTTTAAACATAAAACCTTCGATTCTACCGAAACCAACCGAACTGCTACCACCGCCTCCACCACCAACACGCACATCTAACAATTTGCAGCAGCTACATCAACACTTGCCACATTCGATGTCAACTTTCGTCCATTCGATGAAAGCGTCGCCAGCTGTGCATCAACGAGGTGCTACAGCTGGTTCTGAGCACAGTGCCATGGCCAGTGTCACTACACTAACTCAGGCGCATTCTTCAAATACGGTCTCCCATGCTACTGCAGGGCCTGCCATTATAGCCATTGCATCAGCTGGTGGCATTAGGCAAGTATCTTCACCCTATAATTCATTGATGACAGCGGCACAATCTCCTTCATCATCAGTGTTGCGTTACGCTGAATCGCCAGTAGCGCACTATTTAGAGCGCGACAATGGTGATTTTATCGTTCAGGAAACACCGAAACACATTGTCGAGTGCGTGGAGAAGGATAATGGTGAGTTTTCGGTGATCGAGCGTATATATCAGTCACCGTTAAGTGTGTTACACATACACGAGGATAACGAAAAAGATGACGAAGGTGGGGATAACGACGAAAGCGATATAAAAGACAACGACAAAAAGAAGGTACAAACAATCCCCGAGCAAACGGAAGGAAGTGAAGTTGAAACAATGGATATTGAATGCCCTGGAAGTCCCACAGAAACCATAAAATCGGGCGAAGAAGACAAATGTGAGCAGTCTGCTTCAGACAGGAGTCCTCAGGTAAATAATGCAGAAACTAGTGTCGACAATAGCACAGCTGAAGGGAATGTAGAGACAAAAGGGTATACTAGCGAAAGGTCATCTGCAAGCCCCAGCAATGGCAGTAACAGTAATGCAAATAGCGATGCAGGCACACCATTACATAGTGCGTCCGTTGATTCTCTCAATACAGAAATAATCAACGATCCCATTGCTGTTTCGAGTTCCAGTTCAAATATTAACACCGAATCCAATGTGGTGCCCATTTCATCATCAAGCTCCAACCAAAGTTCTAATTCTGCCGGAACTTCGCGTAAGCGCAGTTCAAAGAATACTATAACAGTGCTGAGCGACGTGCAGTTAAATTTGGATGAATATCTCGATCTTGTTGGCAATATAATAGCATCTAGTAAAATTACAGCGAAGAGCAGTGCATTATCGGGTGCCATGCCGATACCTTTGCTGAAAGTTGAAAAAGAGGAGCCGATTGATGATGACTATGAAATTAATAATCAACCACCGGATCAGCATAAGTTCGAAGAACTTAAGGATGGATATTTTAACGAAGAAAACCAGATAAATGAGTTTCCCGAATCAACTGTAATCGAACCACCTACAACCGCCAACAAAAATGAGACTGAAAAAATAGTTGAAAATAATTCTAGTAGCAATAAAGTTAGAATAAATGACAGTGACAATGATACAAAGGCTGCCAGTTCCACAATGCCACAGATGCAAAGTGCGAATACAAGTGCTCTAACATCCACGTCGGCTACAGGACCATCAACAGCAACGTGCTCCAGTCATGTAACCAGTGTTATACGCATGGCAACAACTAGTCAGCAACAACAGCCGCAAAAAGAAGTACCGCAATCAGCTGTGGACTTTTCGGCGGTAATAGAAAAAAAATCTCAAAAATTGTATGCAGAACTAGCTACTTCTTCAAACAAAACGCAAGTTACATCAATAATAATTCAGGATTTGTCGCGGCAACATTTTATACAATTACAAGAGGAGCAACAGGCGCATAAAGACGAACATCAGCAACAGCAGCAATTAGTTAATGTACAGCCTGAATCAGATTCACAGGCTGAGCTGGACACACAAGCTCCTCTCTTGAGTTCACTGCCAGTGCAGAAAAGAGGCCCAAAGAAGCTGGTTATCAAGCCAAAAGTAACAAAGACTGATGCAAATGCTAACCTCAACCAAAACAACAAAAGCAACATCTCCCAAACCCAAAATATAAATAGTGACTTTAAGGAAGTAAAACTCCAAGTTCTTACAGAAGAAGCACTATGCGAACAACCGACAACCTCATCCAAAGCAAGAATGGAATTGGAGGAGAAGACACTGCAACAACATAAAGAACATCAAATGACACATACAATAGCACACAAATTAATAAAAAGTGAGCCAAACACATCAGTTTACGAAGCGAATATAAACAGGGTCTGCATTAAAGGAAACACGTTGGGCCATAGCATATTGGAGAATCATTTAAACTCCAGTTCTAATAATTGTGAAACCATCATTCAATGTAAGACCGAACAGGAGCCGCAAGCAAGCTCTCTGCAGCTGCTCAAAGAGGAAACAAAAGAGATCACCAATTCCAATGACAATGATGATGCCCGTGTTCTGTTGGATTTTGCAAATTCAAAGAAACGAGAACCCACACATACGAGCGTGGCTAATTTTCTCTCTGCCACTTCAATTTTCTCTAATACTTCGAATACTATGAATGAGAAGAAACCGACGACGGGTCTCACTATTACCAATACAAATAGCACCGAGTCACATGCCGCCTTGCGTTGCGAAGACGAATTTATAGCCCATGACGATGTGCAAGAGATCGTAGTTTCATCATCATATTCACAATCACAATCGGCTTCAGATGTACCTACCACTGCAACCAATAGCACGACCACATCTAATGCTAAGGATTTAATTACTGTTCAACAACAACAACAGCAGCAACAACAACAACATCAACACCAGCAACAGCAGCATCAACTCAATCACAACTTCACCGATTATCCATTTAGCTTTCTATATGGCAACGGTGGTGGTGTAGCTGCTGGTGTACAGCAGACGGATGCAAAAGGAGGTAATTTCTCAGCCATATATCAACAGGCGACACAGGACGCTACCACAGCTGCAACACTTGCATCCGGCAGCAACACCGTGCACACAGATGAATCCACCAGTTCAACTCATCAGCAACAAGCACATACTAATCGCTTTGGGAGCGTGCGTGGCGGTAGTGGCGATATAGGAAATAATGCTTCACACTGGTATCATCATGCAATGGCCACGGCAAATGCTGATTTCGAAACAGCTTTGGGGGTCGATTGCAATGCCGCCGTAGATGGTGGTGACGTAGGCAAATACTTGGATCTGGATACTTGTAAGCGAGAAATTGTAGTTGGCATGCCTGGCGCACCATCTTCGACCTCGTCCTCTTTCGCTGCTGCCACAGAGAGCAGCTTGGCTGGTGGTTGCACTACAGATGCATTGAATATACGTACTGATGAAAAGATGCCGGCAAAAGGTGAGATTTCTGGACAGGAAAGCAATTGCGACATCGAGAACTCTTGGAGTCAGCCGGTAAGTAAACTACATATATGGGAAATATTTAAAATTACACCAAAAGACAATTCTCTTTATGCGCCAATTATCCACCGAAATAAGAAACATTTACCTTTACTAGTTTCAAAGTGTTAACCAAAGGATCATTAAAGGCGAGGTATTAATTGTAACTCCCTTGCCCCCGGTAGTGAAGGCACTTGAGGCCTTACTACATGTTACTGTTTAACTACTACAAGATGAAGCGTCCTTAGCCACAGGAGGGAGTTTCTATGATCTTCTACTCTGACGATNAAAGTGTTAACCAAAGGATCATTAAAGGCGAGGTATTAATTGTAACTCCCCTGCCCCCGGTAGTGAAGGCACTTGAGGCCTTACTACATGTTACTGTTTAACTACTACAAGATGAAGCTTCCTTAGCCACAGGAGGGAGTTTCTATGATCTTCTACTCTGACGATTTCTCCATATTGGCGTCCGATTCTCCATATTGGCATTGCTAAACTTTGTTTGAACGTAATCGACTATTTCGCCGATATTTCTCGCTTCTTTACTGCAAGAAGCTACACCCTCTCCCCTATCAAATTGCGGCCAGCCTTTTTACTACCTGGCCAAGAATAAGAATAAAATTGTATGTGTTACTTTTGACAGCTTGGAAATGTCAATAAAGTACAAAGCCGCAAAGGGCTCCTCGCTCGTCAGCAGCACTTGGGTNATTGTATGTGTTACTTTTGACAGCTTGGAAATGTCAATAAAGTACAAAGCTGCAGAGGGCCTCCTTCCATTTTCAATTAACTTTTTTTAGTTTTTAGATTATTCTAACTTTTCGTGTGTTTCNACCTGGCCAAGAATAAGAATAAAATTGTATGTGTTACTTTTGACAGCTTGGAAATGTCAATAAAGTACAAAGCCGCAAAGGGCTCCTCGCTCGTCAGCAGCACTTGGGTCCTCCTTCCATTTTCAATTCACTTTTTTTAGTTTTTAGATTATTCTCACTTTTCGTGTGTTCTTTAATTTCCGTTAATTTAAATTCAGTTGAGTTTGACATTTTTCAAGATTTTGCCAGCAAAAATTCTTCTGACTAAAGGTAGGACCGCTCTGCAGGGGCATNCATTTTTCAAGATTTTGCCAGCAAAAATTCTTCTGACTAAAGGTAGGACCCGCTCTGCAGGGACACTGCAGGGGCAATACGCGACACGGCGCGACACTTTTTGGTGTACCGCACTGAGACTGCAGTTAAACAAAACGATGTTGGCAACACACAATTTCCAATTGGATGGTTTTAAATTATGCTGCGCCAGTTTGGTGACCGGATACTAGTACGACACTGTTTTCTGATGTCAGCTGAGCACCGTCTACCCAGCGATTCCTTAAAACTCTCCCATTTAAGAAGCTCAATCTAATACTGGGCAAGCGATTCCTGCTCGGTTGTAACCGCATCAGAATTAACTCTTATCAATCCAGACTCGACTCCGATAGACCCGCAAAAAATGCTGGTGTATTGCTGCAAAACTGTGTTAAAATATCAAATTGAGCATCTGAAAGCGCGTTATAATTATTAGCAAATATATTTACTAATTGTATATTTAATTAGCATTTAGGTAATAGACAATATCAATAACAATTATAGATGTATGGTGAACTTTCTGCGCGATTTTTCAAAACCACCTTTCCCGGGATATTTCAACATGAAAATGGTTGGAATCACGATGAGTACTTTACCGTACAGGATTTGAGCGCTTCAGCTGCTGCAACAGGAAATGCCACCTCTTCGAACCGTTCAGGCAAAAGGTCTACATTAATTCTCTCATATTCACTTAATTTAATTTTAAACTAAAACTCTAAATTATTTTATTCAAATTAGCTTTGATTTTCGTCTCCCTCTGGAAGCATCTACCTCAGCGGCAGCAAATGGTAATAATAACTTCCAACTTTTCGCGCGGCATGCTGATGCTTTACCCTCCACTTCATCAACTAATAAAAAGAAACGTAAACGCGATAGTAATGCCAGGGCTGACAAAACGGGACTCTCACGCATGCAGCCAACCGCTACAATAACATCACAACAGTTATTGTTACACCAACAGCAGCAGCAACAACAGCAACTGCAGGCACATGATCAGTTGCAACACTTACAGCATAGTGATAATATTGCAACGTCTACAGCACTTATGATGGGTGGGACTACGGCCTCCGATGGTACAGCTGCTGCCAACGCTACTACTTCGTTGAGTGCAGATCAGAGACGACAACGCAAGAAAGTATATCAGTGCACACATTGCACAGCCGAGTTCCCCAAGCTTAAGGATCGTAATTCCCATATGATAACACAACATAATTATGTGCGTCAAAATCGACGACTGATTTGTGTCCAACGTCCGGCTACGATAGCGCCAACAGGTGCGGCTGTTCCTTCTTCATCCGACACAATTGCTGGTGGTGTCGACAATGTTGTTGTTGTAAATATGGCAGATGGTTACAATAGTACGGTTGTTCGTTCAGATAGCATGGAATTCCTGGAGGATTCCAAACAAGACATTGTCAAAATTGAAGTGGACAATGTATACCAACCATTAACTTCTGCTAACGCACCTGTGGTGACGGCTGCATCCACATCTGGCAGTGGTGAGGGCATCGATTCTAAGCCAGAACTTTTGGACAAAAAGCCAAGCTTAGCACTGTTGCCAGCAAGCAGTTCAAATGCAAACGATGAAGGTGATGGCGTCGGAGACGCAGTTGACACAAAACCCGCACTGCAACCGCTGGCGATGACTACACCAGCCGCAAAATTGGCTGCGCTCTACCGTATGCTGGTATCCTATAACATTTCAACATTGAAAGACAGTCATAACCTTAGTGAGTTGGAGCAGAAAGTGATTGAGCAATCGATATTTTTCTGTTACGTGTGCCGTCGTAATTTCACGTCGGTCAAATTATATGATGCTCATCTGAGTGAACATCCCGCCGAATGTTTCACTTGTGGAAAAACGTTTCAGCGTTGGAAGAATTTCTCACTACATTTGAAACGCCATTTGGGCTGGAAAGAGTTCGGTTGCAATGTGTGTGACAAAAAGTTTGTGGTGCGTAGCGCGTTGGTGGAACATATGCGTATGCATACTGGACACACGCCACTCAAGTGTAAAGTATGCGGTAAGTGCATTGCATGTGTTTTTATCAGAGATCGCAAATAACAGTTAACTTGAAAACAGATCTATTGAGCTTGTCAGGCGCAGCAATATATCCAACTTTTCCACGCAAATCGCTGTCAAATTGAGAAAGAGAAAAATTATTATTTGGCTGTGTGAACAGCCAGAAAGATATTTCTGTCACATTTCGGAAATCGGTCTTTTTTTTAGATTTGGGCTTAGAGGGTTATTTTCCATCTGATGTATATGGTAATACCGCTGAGTGCTAGAACCACGTGCAAAATTTGTATCATGCTTATTATTTTCATTTCTTGGTTTCTCTCTTTAAGTGTTGTTATATTAATTTAAAATGTGTATTGCGGCCTAACAAGTAACCGCGTTATTCCTCTAAATTATTTTTAGTTATGTCAGCATATTTAATTCAGATTATATTTAAATGGCCGGGAAATAAGTCCTCATACCGCCAGGTTATTCCCCAATTAGATAGTTTTAAAATCATTCGTAATATTTTTAGGTTGAAAGTTCCAAAAATAGTAAGTAAAATTTATTTCTTTCAAATATTTCTTATTTCATTTCTTGGATATATGTTAATACATTTTGTATATTACAGTTAATTTGCTCATACGAACAGTTTCAACGGTACGTTTTAACATTTTCATTTAAATGTAATATTAATTTCCTTTATGTCAACGTCTATTACAATACGAATGTAATTATCATTATATCATATTATCTTCACTTGGTTTGAAACTTTATATTTAATGAAACGACTTGATTTTTGTGTATATGTCAGTCAGCACGACCATAACAGTCGAGGAACCATTTTGAACAGAAATCAGTTTCAGAAATAAAACTTGCAAGATGTGACTGCAATTGAGAGAGCGCAAAACGATTTCGAAAATATATTTCACTTGCTCGTGCTGCACTATCAATCTGCAATTCGCTTTTTGGAAACAAGAAACGGTTTTTCACTGGGCGATATTCGGTCGTCTGTAGTTTATAACACCGTGTAAGTTAGAGAAAATAAAAATAAGTTCAGGGTTTTACGAAAACTTTAATTCTTGAGACTAAAAAAGAATTGTACCACTTTCACAGCTACTATACTTTTCTCATAGTAGAATATGATTCACGTATGAAATTTCAAAATTTTACTCTTGTTATTTAGTTATAGACATTGATAATAAAATGAAATTCTTCGTGATTTTCCTTTTTACGACTTTTCGAGATGTTGTGATGACTTTTCGGGACTGATCAAGGTTTTTCATTGTTTAATTTTTTGGGCATTTCCAGATTGTCGTGTTTTTTTTTTGGGGGGATTTTACGATTTGATTTTCGAGATTTCCTTGAGATTTTTCGAGATTCTTCGTATTTGAATTTTATTTTTCGCTATCTTTGCTATTTTTTTTAAACTTTTCGATATCTTTTATTTATATTTTGGAGTCTTTTGACATTTTTATGTGCTTTTACGGTGTTCGTCGTGTTTAATTTTCGGAAACTTTAGGGTGTTTTCGGGATTATTCAAGTTTAATTTTTGGAACCTTCGTAATTTTTGGGGCTTTTTTAGGACATTTCGAAATTCTTCGTACATTTAAATCTTTCTTCGTATGAATGCTTAATAAATACAAAAAAGCTTACCGGTCATTCTTCGTTGAAAAATATTGGTCGAATTTCGCGAGTTATTTTTACGCCAAAGAAAAGCAAAAAAAAAAAAACAGTTTTCTCAACTAACTCTAAATTTGATTATAAAGCTTGATTATACAGCTCACTAAAAAAATAACTGTTGTTTGATATCTCTAGTTTTCATATAAGTAAATATGTAATCGAGCTAATTGTCAAACATTTTTGCATTTCCCTTTGTTCAGGCAAGTACTTTAAGCGCTACTCGAATTTAACGCAACATCGTAAACGTCATGGCAAGCAGATCATAAGGAAAAAGGAATATGTGTGTCATTGTGGGGAAGTGTTGCCTTCGAAGGCGCGATTCCTTTGGCATAAGGAAACACACGACGCTAAACCGAAATGTTGCCCATACTGTTGTGATCGTTTCGTGCATGCGAACTCCTTGCGCCGCCACATTCGCTTAGCACACTCTGATAAATTTGACTATACTGAACCGATGGAGTGTCCTTTATGCAAACAAACATTTGCAAAGTCTTCCATCAAGGCTCACATGGCCACACATTCGATGGACACACAACATGACTGCCCAATTTGCAGCAAATCGTTTTCCACCAAATGGAATTTGAAAATTCATTCTTGGGTACATGCCAATCGCACCGCGAAACCATTCAAATGCGAGCACTGCCCCAAGGCGTTTGTACGCGAGGTGGATTTCAAGAATCACATGAACGCACACAAACAAATTAAACCGTACACATGTGAATATTGTGGCTGCAAGTTCATACGGAAATACAACTATATGCGGCATCGACGTGAGCATCACGGCAACAAGAAGTTCACCTGTGACCTGTGCAAAAAGTCCTTCCATCGGCATTATTATCTCATCGAACATCGACGCATACATACCGGCGAACGGCCATTTCAATGCACCATATGCGGAAAAAGTTCCACAACGAAAACCAATCACAACAAACATTTGAAAATACATCACTCGCGTGATCCCTTCACCGTTGAAGCGTAAGCGAATGTATGCAAATCGTATTAGATCAATCATGATTTTAGGGTTAAAGAAGAGCTACATTTGGAATGCATCCAAATAATAGCACTTAATAAGCGATGAGTAAGCGCGTCGTTTAGAGGCCAGCAGCGAGCAATTGGCGAATCATAAAAGAATTTTTTTCTCTTAATCTATTCGTATATGTGTGTGTAATTTAAATGAGTATTATAAACATTACTGAATTACTGAATAACGAATTAATGCGGTAAGTAGTTGTTAAGGCTAAAATTTATGTGCTGAAACTAGTTGGCAAAGTGTTGAAGCAATGCATAAATATGAATGTGTATGCCATTTTCAGATGGAACTCGTTTTAGATAAGTATCATTACGTCATTGCGTGCAAACCTTTCAATTGGAAATTGCATATGTACTAATACTAAATGTTGGCAAGAATTGATGTACATACATATTACTAATTTACTAAAGTTTTCATATATTATTGATTTATCTAGAAATTTGAAGTTGACATTTTTAAACCAGCCTTTGCTTCTGGCTCATAACTTATTGAGAAAAATTTCGGCTCTTAAAAATTTGTTTATTCGGTTGGCTAGGGAAATAGGTTTTCAAAACTAATAGGCACTTATATTTTATAAAATATATATTCTGCATTCAGTATGGGATCTTGTTAGTTGTAAGTTGACTTCATGTGATTTTGTTTTTATGCAACCTAAAATGCAAAATTGTGTTTTTAAAACTCTTGAAATTCGCCACTGTTAATACTTATTGTTGCTGCAGTTCGAAACATTTTGATAGCAATTATTATAGTTATTCTCAATTGAAAAAAGCTTTTGCTGTTTTTTCCACCCATAAATTCTACCTAAGTATTACATTTTATTTTGTAAGCCTTTATCAAGCTCATGAAATACAAAAACGCTTTGGTATATAATAGCTTTTATGCAATTTATCGGCTAGTTTTATTTTTATAATTATTTTTTAAAAATATTAGTTTCCATCCGAAAATGGTTTTTGAAATAACAAATGTATTTCATAGAATAAAGTAGATATTTGCAAATCAATTGTCATACGCATGGGATTACTCAATCAAAAATCTAAATAATATAGGAATTATTAGAGTGTTAATGAAAAATTTGAAATTTGCTCGTTCCAAAGTATTTTCATTTTCATAGTTAAAAACATTGAATGAATCCGAATAATACAACGTTTTATAAAAGAAAATTGTAGTTCAACTCTTGAGAAATTTCAAGAAATTTCTTATAGCATGTATGTAAATTTTTCTTTAGTTTTAAGTCAATCCAGAGGGCCAATTCTTGTTCTGTGAAAACGTTAAGTGGCAGCATTTTTCATCACTTCACACAAACTTACGGTTCGGGGTTTCAAATGAAAATTAATTTATTTAAACAATTTTTTTTTTTACTGTGAACAGTTTTTACACAAAGGTTTGTGGCTATGAAAATCATATGTTGGGCATTTTGCTCCAAATCATAATCTTTTGATAAAGGATAGCATTATCTTTTACTGACATAAGTTTACAAAATAATTACTTTCTAGATGCTTATTTAAAAGCTTTTGATGTTTGAGAATCGCTTAAAATCATAAAATGGAATGATAACGTAAAAAACTGAAATTTTCACGGAATTTGAATTTTTAATTTTCAGTTCACCACTTCTTAGAACGAGAATTGGCTTCTAGGAAAGAAAAAAGTTGAAAAAATATATATTTGTCCAGATTATGCGTTAAGCTGGACAAGTTACATAGTTNATGTGACGAGAATAAAAATGAATTTGAAATATGTTGTGCTAAAACTTCAAGAACAGATCGATCCTTTGCTGGTAGGACGTTATACTATTATTTTGAGTTAATTATGCCGGAATCGCACTCAGCACTTCTTTTATATTGTGTAAAATAATACATAACGAATTCTTGTAAATTTTGCTTCATAAGAAGAAATTTTGTATTTTGTACCACTTTACTAATTTTCACATTGTTTAACCACTACAGCCATCACTCTTTGATCAAAGTTAGGAACCAAGTAACGTTTGATAATAGTTTTATGCTGTGAATTAAATTCTTAGATTATACATACTCTCTATATATTTTGGATATTATTTATTTTGATACAGTCCGTAAAACTTAATGGAACACTTAAAGCAATTTTCTGAGTTTTGAATTTGTGGAGGTATGCCATTCTTCCAGCAAACTCGCGATATATTTCTCAAAGCAATTTTGCAATTTACGGCTGGTTTTCACTATGTCAAAGTGAAAATACATTCTCAAATGGCTGCCTGTATTTTTCGAACATACTATTATTGGTAAGGGCATGGATGAAGAGAAGGGCGTTGTCTAAAAATAAGTCGATAAAGTTTGTCGTTAAAATATGAAATATGTAGTGAAACCCAGCCTTTACTTTCTTTCCGCATACATTACTTTCGTTTCCTTTGCTTAAAAAAAAAAAATAAAATATCGGGCAATCACTTTAAAATCGGCCACTAACATTTACATGTTTACACCTCAATCAACTTCCAGTCGGCTTAGTCGCTCGCATTATCAAGCTGTTAGAGTTTATTTTAGTTCGTAGAAAAAAAAATAAATTGTAATTAAATTTTATTGGATTATGTGTCATTACGTAAAGTTATTGAATTTAATTAGTCTCTTTTTGATTCTTAATGCTTCTGACAGCGCAGGAGTATGATTCATTTCGGAAGGAATTTCCATCGTCCCTTGTTTTCGAGGGAACAAAAAATGACACTGAAGATTACACAACGCCGAAACCAGGTTTGTCTCCGAATCAAAATTAACAAGGGATGACGGAAATTCGTTCCAAAATACATCGAAATGAACATGATAATTATAATAATTATAAATTTTTGAATCTAATATAATACAATTATATTTTTCAATTAGTTTACGCTCATTTGTTCTCTGTTGTCGCCGTAAAGTGATGACATAATGTTTAAGTTTACTTTTAAAAAAGATTAAATTGTGTAACAATAAAATAAAAATAAAAGGTCGACTATCAATTCCCTCCTCTCCATGAATTCATTACTTCACTGGCTTCAAGTGCAATATGGAAATGATAATTACGACAACAAAAAACTTACAAAAATCATTACTAAAAAAAAAAAAAATCAAGCTTAAATATATTAAACATCGCAAAAACGAAAAGAAAACAACATTATTTGTAAACAAGTTTTTAAGCACTAATTAATTTCTTATGTACGTCTTATATTACAATTAGTAAATTTTATTAATTTAGTCAAATTTTATTGCTAATTTTGTGGTTTTGCATCATTTTCGTACTAAGTATGTACGTATATGCATTGTGCATATCTTTTGCCTTAGTTTGAGTAGCAATGCTATATTATAATAATTTCTATTTGAAAGCATTAAAATGGTTGCGATTTTGAACCAATCTGTTTAAAATTTACATATACAGACAACAAAAACTTAGCATAAAACATTAAAACAAAAATATTAAAAAAATGTTTTTGTATAAGATAATTTCCACTAAATTGCAGTGAATATACACAAAAACATTTATACACACCTAAATACATGCAAACATACAAATATTAGCGTACGACTACTACAAATTACAACGTTTAAAATTGGAATTAAATGTGTGTTTGAAATAAAAGGAAAACGAAATAATATCTGTAATTGCTAAAGCCACAAAAAAAAAAAATAAAAAAAAAAACAAAAAAACAAAATAAATAAGAAAAATAATGAAATAAAAACAAATTCATATGGAGAAACTTTAGTTTAATTGTTAGTCTTAAGTAATTCAACAAAACTGAAACAAATAATTGATATATGCTAATTACAATTATAACTATTAAACTAAATATTACAAATACAATTTACAAATTAATAAATAGATTACCACGTAATCGTCATGCAAGTGAGAAGTAATCTAAACTACGTCTAAAAATACAATTGTTTTTATGATTTAGGGAGGGTGGGACGTGTCGGTTGGGCTGAATTATAAACGACAACAGCAACTGAAAACTATGTACTACACCCAGGGCCAAAATAATATATACACCTTATTTTGATCACTTTTGGTTATTTTCTATTATCTACAATTTCATAGTATTTGGTGATAGATAGGTACTTTTCATAATATAAATTTTCATGTTAGAGACGTTGCTAAACGCTAAAAAGCTTCTTCTTCTTCTTCTTGGCTAAACATATAGCTCTTTTGCATGAATAACGCCAGATATAAAAAAAGGTCTTATTCTACTAAGGGATGCTTAAATGTCATAATGCTAATATCCTTCGTAGTATAAATATCGAATTTGACGTCATTAAAATCGTTACGCTTCCCTATATACGTTTTCCAACGTTCATAGTAAATTGGAAATATGTTCGAGATGGGTTAAAAAAAAAAAATGGAAACCATAGTAACAAGAGAGATAGTGAAATCCAGCTCGTTCTTCAAGGGAATATAAGACAATTACACTCTCTCATTAAAATTTCAATTCGATAATGGGCTAGATTTCGAATTTATAACGAAGGGAGGAAAGCACATTGGATAACGAGGGTTCCGTTTTGCTGGCCCAGTTCTCGTCTCGAGTTGCCCATTCGTTATAGAAACTGAGACTCGGAAAAAATTTTAGTTTTCCAATCATTTTCGAATTGTTAAGCAAGCTCAATGTTTATTCACTATCTCTCAAAAAATGTTTGTTTTCCCATAAATCAAAATTAACCAGGGATGACGGAAAGGTTACTTTCGATAACGTTTGAGAATTCGAGCGTGGCAGGGAGTAGCTGGAAGATGCTTCCAGGTCAGAGCGTCCGAAACAGCCGTTACCAAAGTTTTTGTCATTCTGAAGGAATTCTGTTCATCGACTGTCTTGATTAAAAAAACTACAATAAACGGAGACTGTTATGCCACATTGTTGATATTAGTGCGTCAGATGATTATCGAGAAACGGAGACAGGCCAAGGGAGTCCCAGTTTTGTAAGACAATGCACCCGAGCCCGCCGACCACCCAGCATACAGTCCATACCTGGACGCCAGTGATTACTTCCTGTTCTCCAATTTGAAGAAAAATCTTGGAGTATGAAGTTTTTCGAGTGAATGAGAAATAAAGGTGGGAGTAAGAAAGCAAAAACGGCGATTTTTCACTAGGTCAAAAGAAAGGACTAAATAGAAAAATAAAATGTTTACGCATTTCATCATTCCATCTTGCGTAGAATAGTGCTCTCGAAAAACCCAAAGCCTTCTTAGCCTTGTTCGATATCGTCCATGTTTCTGCGCCATTTAATAGAGTTATTCTTCGCTTGATGTCCCGACTGATATTATTTTTAAGGTTCCAAAAATCCTGGGATTCTTGGCAAATAATCCCGGGATTTTCGGGATTTGTAATTTGCACTGATGGCAATAATAGAAACTCCTTTTCTTGACCAGCATTGGCTATATTTCTTTTTTTTTTATTTAATAACTAATATTTGTTTATAAATGTCTAGTTCACTATACGTACAACACAGCGCGATAGTAAATTTTAAACCCAAATATCAATATATTCGCGAAACGATGGGCCAGATATGGCGAAATTGCGTTCTTAGTTTTTCACTCTGACGTTAGTAATTCAAAACTGATTTAAAAAATTATACAGAAATGTGCTTAGAGAAGACGTATGGGCATACAATTAATGAGGAAATCCTGTAGAATTTTACATACTCAAGTTTCTAGTGCAGAAGGGCTGGTAAATATTGAAAATATCACTTTAAAATTTTATCCTTGAAATTTCGCAGTATTTGGTAAAAAAAATATATGTTAAGGACTTATATAAACTCGATTACATCCTCTAATTTCGTCCTTCTAACTTTACCCGCTTAAAAAATTACCTACTCGTCCTTGTCAATTTAATGAGCCCAATTCTTAATACTCCCGGGGAGTTTGTTTTCCGGGAATTTGTTTCTCTTGAGACAGAAATCCTCCAATAATTAACTCTCAGGGAGTAGCATATTCCCCGAAAATTTGGGAGGATCAAATTCGACCTTCGAAAAAGCTGTTTGACATGTTTTTCACAGCTCAACTCCTCCATTTAAAATAAAAAATCCTCAAGGAATTTTTATTCATGATAGGAGGAAAGAGAAAAGAGCGAAAACTCCGAGGGAGTTTCTGTTCAGAATCGGACTGAATATCAAAAAATTGTTACGAATTGTTACTAGTACTTGCATGTTTTTTACTGGAAATGCATTCAATAAACGAAAAAAAATTGCAAGGTAGAGCGAACTCGGGGCTTAACAACCCGAGAGAGCTGGAAATTCTTGCAAGTAAAAATTTTGCCAGCAAGAATTTACAGGAGTCAAAAAGTAAGGTTATGCTTCAAATTCAAATGTAAACAAAGTTTTTTAGAGGATGATTTGGTTAAATATAGTTTATGAAATGAAAATATAGACGAACAATTTAAGTCTAATATATAGGGGAGCTATTCTCAATTAAAAAGAAAATTGCGCGCCCAACCTTAACCGTCAGAAAGTGTCAAAATGACGTAAGTTGCAAGTTCATACCAGTTTTGCGTTCAATGAATTTTTATGATAATTTTCTCTTGCTCTCAATTTTACTTTCTATTTCTCTTTTACGCTCTCGCTGCAAGTACTCACTGGAAACGTTATTGCATGGACCTAATGTGGTCTGAATACGCTAGCTGCATTTTGATCTTACTGTGTCACGATTGAGAGAATACAAAGGTTGCGCCGATCTCGGACCGCTATTCCTCTCTTAACGAATTTGACAGAATCGTTGTTTGCATGACGTCACACTTGTGCAACTTGTTTACGTTTTCCTTGCAACATTTTTTCTTCTTCTTCCATTCTTGCTCACGTTTTGGCATTTCTCTCTCGCAATTGCACCAGTGTGACGTCACACAAAAGTTATTCTCAAAAATCCTCTCTGATCGGCGCAATCTTGTATTCTATCATTCTTGGTATTGTGTAGTATATGGTGCCGCTGCGATTCAGATGGGCAGCTCGTAGGAGGGTTGTGTTAGAATGTGCCGTAGAAAAGGTACAGAAGGGAAGTTGAAATTACTTACCATAGGTACGGTGACCATTCGTACTGATTTTAGCGGGACATTACCGATTTTGAGAAAATTGTAAAAATCGGGACGTATAAGTTAACCGATTTCTGTAAGCAAAGGTGGTACCTCAGAGGTGGTCCCATACATTCAAAGTATATGTACAAAGAATTCGGTATCAAAAGAAAGAATTTCAGAAATCTTTGATTTCAACCCTCCACCGGTACTGTTGATTTTTACTCCCTCAGCCACCATCTAAAACAATTAGTTTATAAAGTAGAACAATTTTTTTAAATTACAAAAACTTGGATTTATGCTTTTTTGGGAAGACAAATATACGGTATATGAATATTTTTTGCGCAGCGAAGCGGGTATTTGCTAGTATGTACATAGAATGTACATAATTGCCGATATATTTATTAGAATGCCTTCAGAGAAGGGATAGAAGGTGTAAATCTCAAATTGTGTCATAATTTAGATGAAGAGTGCACCTAAAAGCAGGCAAATGCAAATAAAGAACTAATACATACATATCTTTATGCTACCCCTATGGAGAAAATCTCTTGAAATCAAATTTGTTTAAATTAATCTTAATTAAATTGAAAATTTGAAAACATGTTTACATACCTCGTTCTGTAGCTGATTGTGCAGAGGTGCTTGTTGTTATTGGTTACATTCTAGATAGCCCCAAAATGTTAATACAAATTTTTGTCTTGTATTACCAAACTATGAAAAAGCATCTGTGAAGTGCAGAAGGAAAGCGTACATGAAAGAAAACACCGCACAATAAATATCTATTTAAAGTAAACTAGCCACCCGCTGCATTCCTTTTTCGAAAGTTCCGAACTAGTTCTAAATTCGACAGATGATATAGAAAAGATGGAATCAGCAGCAACTTTTCACTCTTAGCTAGCTAGTATATGTAGCTTTAACAAGTAAAATAAAATAGTTTTTTAAGCACCACATTTCGGTGCTTTTGAACTGGTGAGGATCTAGTTACTATCGGACTGGTTCGTTTTTGGCGATAAAGATCTAGTATGGAATTAGAAATTTGGTTCACTAGTTCGGCGTTTCCCTGCAGGGGCATACATATATGTATG